TCCTTGCCCCTCCAACAGAGACTGGGAAGCTCTCCTAATAGAAGGGAGTTCCCCATGGTAGGAGCAATGGCGGGACATTCTTTTGGCGGTTGTGTCTGGAAGAAAAGGTTTCCAGAAGCTATTTTTGTGGGTAGGCTGTATAATTCAGCACAGACTCTGGCATAGTCTGTGTGATTTTTTTTAAAGTCTTTTTGCTTCCTTCTGGTCTAAGGTTCTTTATGGTAAAATTTTGCAGAAATGTTCAGAAATGATGACTTGTGGAGCCAGCAAGATGCCAATTTTTTCTTCACAGCTTCATAGTGGCCTTTTATAAAGAGAGACTTATAATAATTGAATTCCTCAGGCAAAGAGAACAGCAGTGTAAAGGCTGGCTGGATTATAATTCATGGAGGAAACATTCGACCCAATGGTATAAGAGAATCTGTTATTTTTGCCATATCTGATTATTAAAAAAATTTTTTTGGTATCTTTTCTCCAGAGAATACACCTGTCACACAGCCAGAAGTCTTCCAATTTGGTTTTCCGTATGTTGACAAGTTTCTTATAACAAAGGATTTAAGTTACCTTCAGGGCAAGCAGTATTAGTAACTTTCAGAATAATATATTGTTTCTTATTTCGGTCACATATATGATTTAAATACTATACTTCACAAGTTAGGTTTGGATATAAAAGCTTAAGAGCTACAGACCTATTTCAGCAACAGAAAAATTCTGTTGCTGTGTTAGAAATGTGACATTCATATCTTATTGCCTAATTACAAAGACTTTAAAACAAAGCAAATCAATGTTCATGAGCATTATTTTCTTGAACTCACCTACGAGGCCACATAAAAAATAGTATTCTTCATATGTAAAATATGTTAATATGGTACTTGGTTACAATGGGAAACAACAGAATAAATCCTAAAATTAATGATCTTCAAGCAGTATTAATTTGTTATGATTGCACACTCAATATAACAGGATGAAGTTAGAAACTTACCTTTCTGATGATGAAGTACTATGTGAAACTTCAATCTGCCAAACATAAGAAGAAACAGTTGGCGGAGAGGAGACCTTATGGAGACCCCAATTCAGCAGGGAATTACATCAGCAGTTGCGTATGAGCCCCTTTGTATTGAGAGGTCACCAAGACGTCAGCACTCAACTGTGATGTTTATTTGAAATAACATTTTCTATGGAAAACTTGGTTCTTGCCTCTGTGCTAAAGAATTAGGAAGACTTATATAATAATTTTTACCTTATACACAGGATCAGAGAGTTTATAGAAAATGATCATTTAAACTAAGTTCCTCCTTACTCATTTGGAATGGTGTATTAGGAAGGTGCGCCCCCTTCTTTTAATAATAGCTCAGCTCTGAAGTAACTATTTTGTTTCAATAAGACAAAAAGAAAACTAATAGAGCAGATTGAGCGCTTCTGACAAACATAAGAGCATTGGCATTGCTTTTTGGTTAATTATTGATTCTTTTAAATATTATCATTTCTATGGTTTAAAAATTTGTAGATGAGCTAAGCTGTGTTTATAAATAGGCTAAGCCTCAAAATATCGGATGGATTCAGAGAAACTTTCTGTACAGGCAGGGTCTTATCTCACAGTCCCTCTCCACAGAGCAGATATCCCTGGGGAATCACATGACTCTGCCTTCTCTTAGATACAGTTGTTGGATCAAACTGGAGCATCTGACCATGGGGCAACTATTTAACTGACCTTGGCCAATAAATTTTCTACCCAGTTCCACAGGAGGAATTGGAGGGGGATTGAGAGTGCACACGAAAGAAGGAGAGAGAGATTGAAAATGGAGAGTTCTGCTTGTGCTGGAGGTGCTGCTAAGCCTCATGGGAAGTGGAAGTGGAGAGTGGGCCGGCCTGAGTCAGCTGGAGATCAAGTCAAGGACATTGGAATCAGCCAGTCCTGACTTTGATTTACTTCCACCCCTTCATGGATGCCTGAAATTGACCAAGAGCAATCACCTCTCTCTTGTATGTAAAATGGGGCTAATAACACTTATTTTGCAGGACTGTTATAGTAGGGCTGTTAGAGCTTTATGATAATGGATAGGAAGAACCTAGTCCAGTTTCTGGCGTATACTAGGCTCAGTACATGGTAACAATTAACCTTCTTGGCTTCCTCCTCTCACTTTCCTTCGGCTTCATGTTACCGCTCTACACCTGCTCCATGAATAACACTGACTTTTGGGGTGAAATACCCACTTATTTATCCTTTAGCTTTGGCTTTTCTTTTTATAACATCACTCATTTTAGATGCAACGACTTCTAGGTTTCTTCTAATTAAAGAATTTTATGATTCTCCTCTGGCATTGCATACAAGTCTTTGGTGTCATTGTTCAAAACCGAGAGATTAAGGAAAATTTAATATGTAGGCTTTTTCAGGTATCAGTGTCATCTTCTCATGGTGCTATTGCTACTACAGAATCAGTGCTATGGTAAGATGGTTTCAGAGCAAGAATCCAACAACCCACACTAGAATTTATTTTTTAAGGATTTCTTTTTATTTTTTTGAGTCACAGCAAATCTTTTTTTTTTTTTTTTTCTGCTCAGGAAACTTGGTTTAATATTCATTCACTACAAAATCCTTCTGACTCTCAGGAAACTAAAGATAAATAAACCTCACTATTTTTTCCTATCGGGGCTTTTACTCTACCATGACAGTTGAAAACAGTCATAAATAACAAAAACACAATCAAAAGAATTTGACAGTATGTGTGGTAAAATAATTAATTATTGTGGAATTATAATTCAAGTCTTCCCTTGTAATAAAAAATCAAGGCCTGCACCAGTATACAAGTTTGAATTCAATAACTAGAGTTTGCTTTAGGCACATCAATAAAAAAATTTCCTCCAAAAGCAAATTTGAAAGTAAGGAGAAATGTATGTGGAGTCATTTCTCTTATGTTAAGATAGTGCAGTATTTTCTAGAATAAGTAAATCAGGTGCATGGTAGAACTTAAATGTCAATATTTTGATCCTCTTACTTGTTTTCTTAAGGCTGGATTTAAACTCTTGATATAAAGCAGACTTTTAATTTCCCGTTTTCAAAGACAATATTGAAAGGTCACTTACTAGCTTTAAAAGTTTTAAGAAATGACTCATTGTACCACCACTGTCTTACAGGCTTCAAAATCAAATTTCCGGTCAGTATTGTGCATTTTGATTTGGCAAACATGTATCCTTTTTTATGTGTTCTAAGAGAGATTATTATTAAGAGTTTTTTGTTATTGGTTTTTATGTTTTACATAGATCTTCTGAAAACTTTAACAAATAGATAAAAAGAACATTGCATGCTTTAATGAAATATACTGTTTGTGTTAGTTGTAACAAAACCTCTGGGAAAGATTCATAAAAGATCTGGAAAGTTTCTCATTATTAGTCTCAGTTTTATCTTTACAAACTAACTTTTTTTTTTTTTACCGTTTCCTAATTAGTAAAGATGCCTACATTCAGAAAGATGAGCATTCTCAAGCTGACAACTTTGTTCCCCAGAAACATAACAGCAATCACAAGGGAGCTATGCCAAAGCAAGGGTCATCAGTGAATGAGGCTTGGGTCAGACCAAGTCCAGAAAACATTTCTTTTTTTCTCTAGTGATGAAAAACTGTGGAAACTTTTGTGCCCAGAGAGACATGGCAGAGTGTTTGACTGAGGAGCCAGTGTGGCTTGACCGCTAGAGCTGAAAGACTGTGCGACAAAGGATGGAGCGCCCTGGGGACCGTGCCATGGGTCACCCTCTGGATTGATGTCTGGTTCCAGCTGGGCCCAGTGGACCTGGCCGGGCCTCAGGTTAGCACTGGTTTAAAGGATTCCAGGAAAACCTACTTAACCCAGATTCTTTGAGGAACAAGAAGTCAATTCTAGGTTTACCACTGATTAACTTGAAAATCTCAGATTAGCCTCAGAATTGCCTTTTAATCAAGACACTTATTGAACCCCTATTACGTGTTTCAAAGTCATCTAACTTCAAATTCCCCCAAAACAAATTTTGTTTATTTATCAATTCATATCCCCCTACAGAAAGTTAGATATCTTCAATAGATACTTCAAAACTCAGAGAATAATTAAGGCACTTTTCCTCTCACCCCTGGCAAAGCTACCCTTCAATTTTTCAAAAAAAAAGGGATCATTTATTTACGCTTTAAAATCTCCGTATATGGCTATTACATGATTCTCTTTATAATACCTTTAAAAAACCTTTCCCTAAACTTTAATAAAGTTCTCCTACTTAGGAAATAAGGAACCATTTGTGTTCCAAAGCTGTCCTCAGTCCCAAAGAAGAAGGAATCATTTCCACATTGTGTTGTTAAAAACAAGACAACAGGTCCAAAATAGAGCCGCTTATGCTAAGCCTACATCACCAAACTGAGAGTTAATTACAACTTCCGCTCTCCTAGAAATGGAGTCTTACGCCAGCCAGTTGGGAGGGGCCTGATCAGCATCAATTAGCTAATGTGCCTACAGACCCTGGCCATTCCCTAAAGAAAGAAACCTTGCAATCCACTTTTTTTTTGCCCGGTATAACTTACTAGTTTCTGCTCCCTTCTGCCTATAGAAGTCTTTCCTTCTGTATAGCTCCTCAGAGCTCCCTTCTATCTGCCAGATTGGATGTTGTCTGAATCATGAGTTTGGGGGGGGAGGGGCAGAGAAGGCAGTAATTAGGTTTACTTATTTATTTATTTTTAGAGGAGGTACTGGGGATTGAACCCAGGATGTTACACATGCTGAGCATACTCTCTACCACTTGAGCTATACCCTCCCCTCTCGAATCATGAATTGTTGAATGAAGCCAGTAAGATCTTCAAATTTCTTCAGTTGAATTTTTTTTAAACAATGTGGCATTTAATTTTATCAAAATAAAAATAACTATTACTAGTTTATAAGAAACATCAAATGTTTACTGGGACATCATATAGTTACTAAGAAATGAACTCAAAATTCATTAGAATTTTGAAAATTCTAATTATCAAGAAAATTATCAAGACTATCAAAAGAAATGACTCCCATTTTCTCTAGAAGGAAGAAACATCCTTTTAAAGTTCCTTTTGAGGGCCACTGCAACACCTACGAACTTAATTAAAAACTCTAAAAGACTTCCGGCGTTATTACATTGTCATGACACCAGATTCCACTGGTTGGGCATTTCCCTCTCATCTCAGCCTTGCCCCCCTCCCCAACTCCCCCCAAATCCACTGCTGTACGTCTGAAAATCTGTAAATCTGTAATTGGTCTGGTGACTTTTAAAGCAAGAGAGGCCTCGGGAATAGCTTATTTTTGGAAGTGTAAGAATTTCCCAAGGATTAGGACACCATAATAAAACTAGTTGCTATTGTATTAAAATATTACTTCAGTTGTTCACGACAAAGTTTGAGTTAACTTGAAATGCATTATTTGCCGGCTGTGTACACCCTCCTTTCTCTGAACGTTAATCAGCATAATTATTGGTCCCCAATGAAACAAGCATGGAAAAAAAAATCGAAAGATGCAAAACTTAGTTGTGAAAAGGACCAAAATTTCCTAGACCTCAGGGATTGTTCTCAGTAGTTAGGCACTAAGTTTGCTCTCAGCCCAGAACTTGTAAAGTTGTTTTGGAGAACGGCCCCAGCTCGGTCAAGGCCCATTTGGTTTTGCATCTGAAGAGTGTAAAATTCCCCGACTGGGAGTAATAGCCTACAGGGCGAAACCCAGAGCTGCACAAGGGCGGGCACACACGCTGCCGCGCTGGGCGCATGGTGCAGGCGGGTCGGTTCGGCTCCCCGGCCCCCGGGTTCGAGGCTCCGGGGTCAGCCCTGCTCTGGGCTCCGCGCCCGGGCGCGGGTCCGAGCCGCCAACTTCGGGCCAATCAGCGCGCGGCGTCCGGCGCCCGCAGCGCCCCGGCCCGCGCCCCCCGCGCCCCCGCGGCAGCAATGGCAGCAGCGGCCTCGGCGGCTCCGGGCCGAGCCAGACCCGGGACGAGGAGGGGCTGAGCCGCGGGGGATCCTGGAATCGGCGGGGAGGTGGGGATTCTGGGAGGAAAACTCCATTTCCTCCTTCCCCGCCGGCCTCTCCCCTCCACCCTGGCACCCCAAGTTTCGATGTGTCGCCTCCCGGGCGCAGAGCGCCGGTATTGAGCGAGGCGGCGGCCAACGCGGCTGGCAAAATGCTGGGCATGTACGTGCCGGACAGGTTCTCCCTGAAGTCCTCCCGGGTTCAGGACGGGATGGGGCTCTACACGGCCCGCAGAGTGAGAAAGGTGGGTGACCCGGCGGCGGCCCGCGCGCCCCTGCTCCCGCCGCGCGCCCCGCGCGTCCCGACTCGCCCCTCCGCCG